TTTATTACGAATAATTAACTTAACTAATTTTCTTAATCTATTTAAATTAGTTAATTAGTTTTTATATTAAAGACCAGAAGTAATATAAAATATGTATTAATAATTGTTGAAGCTTGACCTATGGACGGGAATATATTTTGCCTTGTTAAGGGGGATCTGGACATTGTGGGACCTTACCGAGAAAGACTTTAGTTGACTCATAATTCTATAATGTAATAACCATAAAGCTTATATTCAAATAAATTTTCCCATTCATTTTTTCTTCACAACAAAAGTCAAAGTCTTCCCTCTGAAACTAAAAGGCGCAAAGCTCCCGTGGAAAATTTGCTAAGTAATGGCAATTATCTTGTTTTCCCCCACCAACCCAATCCGTTTTCGCCCCCAGTAATTTATTTTCGTTGTTATAGACAAATATTTCAAACTATGATATATCACTGTAAATTAAACAATAAGCTTGAGTGTCGGTTACAACTTGAAATAAGCATATATCAATATTTCTGGTCCATCCACATGCAATTAATTCATAGTGAGACATATAGATACTATAAATGCAAACTTGTTATAAAATTTATATTTTATATTGATGGGAGTGGTTTTGATAATTGGACAAAGGTATTTAATTTCTTGTTGACAAATACTCTTTCAGTCCTTAATATAAGACATATTTAACTAATTTGATTAGATTAAAAAAGTTAAGTAAGTTAGTTAATTATAAGAAATGTGACATATTTTTTTCTAAAATACCATAATCGTCTTCTTTAATATCTTCTTTTCCTCTTCTACTTGATTATGATTAAGGGAGTATCCATAGGAGTAATTTAGAAAAAATTGATAAATAAGAGAAATAGGTATTATATTTAGGACTAAAATCAACTCAACAACTAGGTTCTATATTAAGGGCTGAATGAGTACTATTTTTTTTCCAATAATTTTTTTTTGTTTTTCTTGAATCCATTTTGTTTCGTTTCTTGCATCAAGGTCTCATAGAAAATTTTTTATTCTCCATAAAAATTTTCTGATGGTAGTTGAATGGAGCATTTCACGAAACTGCATCAATTTGAAATTAGAGCATAGACTATGATTAATCCTGAAGCCTGGGACGGATACTTTTGTCTGACGTGTGGAAATTAAATTAGAGTGAAAGTCATAGTTGAGAAAAGTCCAAGTATGATTTTTATTTTCGCCAAAGAGGACGGGTGTGATTGACAAGAAACCATCAATTTAAAATGAAATTTTAATTTACAAGTTGAAAATAAAAAAAATTAAAATGTCGTTTCCTTCAAAATAACTAAGATAAAATAGTTAGACGAGAAGTTTGGTGCATAATTAATAGTCCAAATATCCTTTTCTCTTTATCATCTATGTAAGCCGTTTATATCAACATAATCTGTGAAGCTATGAGGAGAGAATGGCCTAAAAATACATTAAAATAATGAAAAGATATTTTAATAATTCTACTTCAATTTCTGTGCATAGCATGGGTCATATAAGTTCTTGAAAGAACATATTAAAGGGCCATGAAATAAAACTATGGTCTTAAGAAAATCAAGATCCAACTTTAAAGTTTGATTTTACGAACTAGCATTCATATTATTTATTGAAACGGAGAAGCGAAATGCAGCTAAAAGTTTTTTTTTTTTAGTAACGTAACATAAAAAATTAGATAAATGTTTTAATTTTTAAAATTAGTTTTCAAAGTTTATGTAAAAATTTGATCCTTTGGGAAACATTGATCTTTTGAATCCCTAGAAAATTGTATAAAATACATTATTCTATTCTCTTGAAAGAGCAAGTTTAAGTATGTGAGAAAATACAGGTTGGTCCGTAAAATAAATTTTGTATAACTCAACATATGAGTGGTAGCGACTTCTGGGTCTTAAGGAAGCAGTTCGGAATTCGATTCTCGACCATTATATATGAAGTCTTTTTAAGGATAATTAATTTTGTTATTGGCAGAAAATACTTCTTATCCGTAGAAAAATGTATTTTGGCCAAATATAATTTAAATTTATAAAATCGTACTTTCAGCCTATTTTGAAATTATAGTCGCATACTTTTTTTTTTAATAAAACTAAGGACATATTTTGAAAATAAAAAATTATTTTTTTGCCAATTGAAAATAAAGATTTAACGTCATATAAGCACGGTTACGATGAAATAAGGATTTAAAAATTTTAAAAAAATGAAGTCATCCCACTCGCTAAGAATACTAAGAACGCATCCAATTTAAGTAAACTAATATTGTAGACTAAGAAAGTCGCAAAATGTTATTTCTTCTTTTGAATTAATTAGATTTAAGATCACATTTTCACCGTTTTGAGATGGATTTTTTTTTTTTTGGCTTCTGAATTAAATGATGAATTCCAACTTTTAATTGGAAATAAAGATCAGCATGAATAACAAAATCTTCATATTATATCTGTCTGTGTGTGTCTGTGTGATAAAATGTTTGGTTACAAAAGACAATATTTTTATCGAAGCAAGATAATACAAAATTCTCAATATTATGAACTCCAGAAAACATTGTCATTTATTTTTGTTTATTTTGTTGAAATAATATCCTCTTATGACTTTTCCTCATCGGAAAAGTATACAAGTTATTAGCTAGTTATGTTATTTTCGAAACTCACTGTATATAGAAGCCTATATCTAGTTATGTTATTTTTTCTGGTAATGATCTAGTTATGTTATGATTAATACTACTTCCGGTTCTAATTATAAAACCCTGTTTGTAGACTACAAATGAAGTCTTATAATTAGGACTAGAGTTAGTATCATATAACATTTTATAAAAAATCAAATTATGTGATTTAACTTATAGATAGTATTTTTAAGGATGCGTATGCAATTATGTAAGTGATTGAAGGATTTGAAATCAAATTATTTATCTCAACCCAGCCAAACAAAATATTTATATCTAAATATTTCTTCTCATAGAATGTACATGTCGTTAATTCTAGACGTAGCTAAATCTTTCCCAACCGTCTATTAAGCTGTGCAACGGATAGACAATAATGGTTATTTATCTATGGTTTATATATCGAATGCAGTTCAGCTCACAATATCCCCAGTTACAAGGGAATTTGGATATATTTTAATTGTTCATTTAAAAGTTGAATAGTTTAAATTTAATTCTAATTTATTCTCAATATTTTAATGTCTTTTTGTTTTCACACCAAATTTACAGATAAACATAATTTTCATAAATTATAATTTATTTAAAGTGAGACTTTAATGTACAATATATATATATATATATATATATATATATATCCTACGTAAAGTAAGATCATTGCAGCTGGTGATCACTTATTTTAGTCTCATATAATCCAAGATGGCCGTGAAGCTTCTTGGAAATCAGTGAGGGAGTATACTTTACCTTTTTTTTCATTTGAGGGAGATTTCTACATTGTGGGGGCAAAAGGAGGAAGACTTTCAATTGCGAGTGTTTTTTGTGCGAGAATGTTTTGTAGAAAAGAGAGCATTTTGTCCAAGCAAATAATATCTTACAAGAGCACACTATCCGACACCAACAAAAATGCTCAATATTATGGACTCCGAAAACATCGTGCATTTATTTTTGAATTTTCATTTTTTTTAAAAAAAGAGGTTGTTGAAATAACGTGTTCTCTCCACATCTACTCTGACTTCTCTTCATCAGAAAGTGCACCAATCATCCATCAAAGTACAGGCCCACAATGAACTCTATAAAAATTCTATGCACCATCCACATTTTACGCCTCATAACATCTCGTGAGTTGAGAAACCACAGTTATCTAAGAACTGTGTTTTAATCCTCTCTAGTTGTTTCACTTTTGAACTTGTATTGAAGCTATTTCGTCACTGTGATGGGCTGTGTGTTTAATTTTTTTTATGCATTATTGACATTGCTGTTGTTGCTGCATACAAGACTCAGTTTGGCCATTGATGGTGAAGCATTGAAGAAGTGCATCGAGAAGGAGAGGAAAGCTCTTCTGTTGTTCAAACATGGCATCTATGCTGACCCTGCTCATATGCTGTCCACATGGAGGGACGGAGATGATGAAGATTGTTGCAACTGGAAAGGAGTTCGTTGCAGCAACCAAACAGGTCATGTTCAAATTCTTGATCTTCGTAGTTCCGATTCACCCCTTTTGAGAGGTACAATTAATATTACTTTGTTGAGTGAGTTGCATGAACTGAAGCATTTGGATCTCAGTAACAATTATTTCTACCCAAGCGACATCCCTCAGTCCATAGAGTCATTCACCAACTTAAGGTATCTCAACCTCTCTTATTCTAATTTTGTTGGGAGTATTCCCAATGAATTGGGAAAGCTTTCCAAGTTGCAGTACCTTGATCTGAATTTCAATTACTTTGGTGGAGCTATCCCTTGGCAAATGGGAAATCTTTCCAAGTTGCAGTACCTTGATATGAGTTTCCAATTACTTTGATGGAGCTATCCCTTGGCAAATGGGAAATCTTTCCAAGTTGCAGTACCTTCATCTTGGACAAAATAATCTTGTTGGAGTGATTCCTTATCAACTTGGGAATCTCTCCATGTTGCACACTTTGCGACTTGGTGGTTATGATTCTAACCTCACAGTAGCCGACAAAAACAATGATGAGGCAGAGTGGATATCAAAGCTCTCTTTGTTAACAAATCTTGAGTTGAGTTATGTGAGTGATGTTGGTAATTCTCAGGTGTGGCTGCACATGATGGTAAACTTGTGCCAACACTAACAGAATTGAGACTCAGCGGATGTGGCATTTCTTATGCCCATAGCCTTCCTCTTTTACTTCTCCTTCCAACTATTCTTCTTCTCTTGTCACCCTTGATCTCTCTTAATAACTTGAACTCATCATTATTTCAATGGCCCTTCAACTTTAGCTCCAGCCTTCAACAGCTTTATCTAAGAAATTGCAGTCTTTCATCTCATAATCTCTATTATTTATCTTCCCATTTTCATTTTCCTTCTCTCCTTGTTCTTGATCTCTCTTATAATAAATTGATGTCAGTAATGACGTTGAACTTTGGCTCCAATCTTCAAGAGCTTTATTTGGAAAATTGTAGCCTTTCATCAAATAATATTATCTTCACATCTTTCAATCCTAACCTTACTTCTCTTGTCCTTCTTGATCTCTCTGATAATCATTTGAAATCATCAGCCATATTCTATTGGATTTCCAACTTCACTTTCAATCTTCATGAACTGCACCTCGGTGACAATTCACTCAACGGTTCCATTCCAAATGGTTTTGGAAACACAATGAAGTCTCTTGAAGTTCTTGATCTCTCCTATAATAATCTCCAAGGTGAAATCCCAACATCACTAGGAAATATATGCACATTGCAGAGCTTAACACTTGTCGACAATAACTTCAGTGGGGACCTCGCGGGATTCATTTCTAATATATCATGGTGCAATAGACATTCATTACAGAGTCTGGATTTAGCAAGAAATCGATTGACGGGCATGTTACCAAATCTTTTGGGTTTTTCCTTTTTGCAAGATCTGTCTCTCTCTGATAACCAATTAGAAGGAAAAATACCTGAAAGCATTGGATTGATGTCTCAATTGGTAGGATTGTATTTAGATGGGAACAATTTGGGAGGTGTAATCACCGAATCTCATTTCAAAAATCTTTCTAATTTGGTGAGCTTATCATTGTCTGGCAATCCATTGACCTTGAACATTAGCGCCAGTTGGATTCCCCCTTCTCAGTTACTACTTATGGAGATGGCTTCTTGCAAGATAGGTCCTAATTTTCCAAACTGGCTTCGTAATCAACATCATTTATCCACTTTGGATATTTCTGATGGCGGGCTTTCAGGATCTATCCCAGAATGGTTTTGGCCACTATTGAAAAATATAGATCACGTGAATATCTCATTCAACAACTTTTCTGGTGAAATCCCAAACTTGCCACTCAAGCTTTATCAAGGCGCACAAATAATTTTGACTTCAAACAACTTTAAAGGTGCACCTCCATCATTTCTTTCAAAAGTGTCAGAACTTTATCTTTCTAAAAATAAATTCTCAAATTTGATTCAACTTGTATGTGGCCAAACTGAAGGTGGGGGCATTGTCATTTTAGACCTCTCAAACAATCAACTAACAGGGCATCTACCTAAGTGTTGGAGCCAACAAAACACGTTAAAATTTGTTGACATGAGCAATAATAATTTGTCAGGAGAGATCCCATCCTCTATAGGAAGCCTTGTTAATATGGAGGCTATGGTTTTAAGAAACAATAGCTTGACTGGAGAACTTCCTTTGTCTTTGGCCAATTGCTCCAAGTTAGTATTATTGGATGTGTCAGAAAATAAGTTGTCAGGACGAATACCTTCATGGATTGGGGTAAGCCTTGAACAATTGCAAATCCTAAGTTTACGGATGAATCATTTAAATGGAAGTCTACCCGTACATCTTTGCCACTTAACACAAATTCGACTCTTAGATCTCTCTCGTAATAACTTGTCCAATGAAGTTCCATCATGCCTTGAAAATTTTGCTGTTATGGCACAAGAGCATATCAATTTAAGCACAAGCTATCATTATTATATGACCAATAAAATAGGGCCTTATCAATACCTTGATGGTTTGGAATTCTATATAACATTGATGTGGAAAGGTGAGGATTACAAGTATATGAGGCCAGAACTCTTTCTTAGAAGCATTGATCTCTCTAGCAATGCTCTATCAGGAGAAATACCAAGAGAACTTGTGTCTTTGTTAGGATTGGTTTCCCTAAATCTATCAAGAAACCAGCTAAGTGGAGAGATACCTATAAATATTGGGAATCTAGAATCACTAGAATTTCTTGATATGTCAAACAATAAATTATCAGGCTCAATTCCTTCAAGCCTTGCTAATATTGATCGCCTCAGTGTATTAGACTTGTCAAACAATCATCTCTGTGGAAAAATCCCAACAGGAACACAGTTGCAGAGCTTTAATGCCTCATCTTATGAAGGAAACCTTGATCTTTGTGGATCACCACTCAACACGATGTGCCCAGAGGATAATACACCTCCACCTCAAGAAGCGAATCACAATGAAGAAGAAGAGGCCTCATTGTTCTCTCAAGAATTTTACTTGAGCATTGGATTGGGATTTGTTGTTGGATTCTGGGCCGTTGTAGGACCGTTGCTCTTCAACCGAACTTGGAGACAAGTCTATTATCGATTTATGAACACAGTAACAGACAAAGTCCATGTCATTCTCGTAGTTTATGTGGTTAAATACCTCACCATCAGAGACTAGCAACAAGGTAATGATTTATATTTTTCTCTTGTTGTTCTTCCTCCCATTCAACACTTATGATAACCATGTGATGGTAAATTACTAGAGTCTATGTTAATATAGACAAACATTTTAAAATGGTAATGATGTTCAAATAAAAATCAAACTCAGACGTTGTATGAGTATTAGGCTTTTGACTAACTTATGGGAAAACTAAGATAATAAAAATCAATATTATCTATGTAATTACTTGGGAATGCTTGACATGCTACTTTGTTTTTTACAGGATCTGTTTGCCCTACAGTTTGGCATTGGATGTAGTCATAATCCAAGTAATGATGGTTTGTTGCACTGATTTATGTTATGATTTGAAATATATTGTACTTATGATAATGTTCTCTACTAGCATTTCATCGAACTAGTTATGTTCTTCTTATTGCCCTTTAAATATTTTCTGTTGCATGCTAACTGGGGATATATATATATATATATATATATATAACTCCAGCATAACATTATAAGTTTCGAAATGATATTCCTTTTGAATTATCTATCTATTGGCTTTGTATTGATATGGCCATGTGGTATTGACCAAATAATTCTGCGGAGGAAGAAAATATGAGGTCCTTAATGTCATGAATTAGAACTTACATATTGGGTTGATTGAGTTGTGACAAGGCATTGAAGACTGATACCTTTGATCGCTGAACAAATCGGTGTGTACAAAGGAAGGTCTTGTCCAACAGTTTTAAAACTTTTTGAGGGACGAATATCCAGAACAATGAAGTTAAATATTTCAAAGCTATTATTTTTTGATGTGCAGATTGTTCTGCGTGAGTTCTCTTTTGTATTTGAGATACTCTTCCTCTGCTTAAATCGCATAATATTGAAGAGAAAAGTTTTAAAACTTGGGATCTAGACATGTTAGACAACCTTGTATTTTTAGCTTTAGGAAGCTTACAGAAAACAACAATAAAAAGTAGTATAGATAAACAGAGTCAATGTTTGGATTGCTTTGTATGTTATAATAATTACCCCCTATGATAAATATCCCTTGCTTTGTGCTTGGGGACTGGACGTAGGACATATTGGTCTAAACCAGGATAAATGATCGTGCTCCCTCTGTCTCTCTTCACTTGTTTTATTTGTTATTTTTAAAATTATATTTAAGGATAACCTCATATTTCATAGAAATTTAACCATGCAAAGTCATAGAAATAAAGAAAAATATTTTTTGACATAATTAAACTTTTTCTTAGATTTCTAGGTTCACACAACTCAAGAGATGATACTCGAATGCTTGTTCTTTAAGAATATTTCTCAAAAATACACTAGTTCGACTCTTAAGTAAAAATAACTTCATAAAGCAATTATTAATTTTAAAAAGTAGTGTGATTTTTCTTAACATTTGTAAACTTAAAAAATAGCCATTTTTTAAAAAAAATGTTTAACACTAATACTACAATCAAAGATTGGATTGTTGAGCACGATGGCGTCGTGTGATTCATGTAGCCGACCCCACCTAGTGGGATAAGGTTTGTTGTTGTTGTTGTTGTTGTTGACTACAATCAAAGAGATTTAGTGAAATTACTCAAATCTGCATTCACACCTAGTAAACCCAAAACCTATGATATAAGCATTGATTCTAATATAATAGGGTCATCATCAATATATCAAAAAACAAAATTTATGGCAAGTTTTGTTATTCACACTCATTCATAAAACATTAAATAACATTAATTCAACAATAATTATTTTTGGTACGGGCAATTTGAAACATTTTCTCAAAAGAGAGCCACACACTTCATTTTTTACTACTTTGAGGTATAAAATCCACGCCTCAAGGTACTTGGTTCTCAACAATTTAATAACAACTAAGATTGTGCGAGCACAGTGCTTTTATATAGGAAAAGAAAAGGATGGAGCCCACAAACATAGAAAGGATTGTGATTGTGGGATTCTCCATGCAATTTTGGTTTCTTCTGCGCAAGGCAAGCCTTTGGAGTTTCAGAATTGGAAGTAGAACACCCTGCACTTATATAAATATTTAAAATAGTACTTATGATTTTTAATATAAATATTAGAAATAGATAACTAATTTTAAATATTAAAAAAATTAATTAAGTTATTTATTAATAAATATTATTTTTAAAATATTTTATTAATCATGTGTATTAAAATGAAAACCATTTAACCTATGTAATTTTCAAAAAATAAATAAATGCAGGAAATAAATTAATTGAATTTTTATATTTAAGATTAGAGATACAGTATTATATTGTACTCCTCATGTCCTTAATATAAAATCTAATTATTGAGTATATCTTATTCCTAAATATAAGATCTATTCCTCATATTTATCATTTTTTCCTAAATTACCCCTATTGATGTTCTCTTAATTATAATCAAGTAAAAGAGGGAGGGAGGATATTAAAAAAGATGATTATGGTGTTTTAGAAAAAACATATCCTATTTCTTATAATTAACTAACTTACCTAACTTCTTTAATCTAATCAAATTAATTAAATATTTTATATTAAGGATCGTTTTTTTAAGCTGATTGCATCATTCTAAACTTTTCTTTTCCTCCTGTATTGAGAATTTTACTCACTTTTTCACTACCCACTCCTCAAATATCGTACCAAATTCTCCGGGTCCTTCTTATTATCTGTATCGAGAATTTTACACGCATTTTCGCTGCCTACTCCTCAAATATTGTACCAAATTCTCCGGGTCCTTATTATTATTATTATTATTATTATTATTATTATTATTTCCTTCATTATTTTTTAAGAAAATCGCATACAAGGACCTGTTCAACAAAATTGTTACCATTTACTTATCAATTATTATCAAAACCAATACTAATATTGTAATGGGTCCTTGTTTATAATTTTTCTATTTTTGAGGTCATTTTTACAATTTTTTCTTATTTTTGTCCCCAACAATTTCCCACATTATTATTTACTTACATTCGTAACCTCTTTTTTTTCCGTGGAAATAACCTTTTTATTTTATATTACACGCCTTTTTAAAGTTTCATTTTTGGACAAAAATACGTATTTATTGCTTAATTTACCCATCTTGGGCCTCGTATTTTCATCTATTGGGATATTTGCACCATTATCTGTATCGTTAAGTCGATTAATTTAATCAAAAAAGGCATAGATTAAATAAGAAATTAATAATACTTAAAATTATTATTTAACAATTATTTTTATTTTTTGGAAAATCAATTTTCTCCCACCATATCTACAATATTCATTTTCCTGTGATTAAATTTCTTTCCTCATTTTAATAATAATGATGATGATGATGATGATGATAATGATAACATTGAAAATAAAGCGTAGCTAACTATTTCCCAACGAAAAGATATGAACCGTTGGGTAAGGTAGCTTGAAACGGACTGGAGGTATTATTTAATTTAATAAATTTAAAGTGAGGAAAAAGCTATTGGCTGGGAGGAAGACTTATAGTTTCACGTCTTTATCAAACTTACAAATATTATTTTTATTATTACTCCTTTTCTGATGAGATGATAAATGTAAAAAAATAAGTAAAGAAATACCAAAATCTATAATTTTCTTCAGGTTATCTGTTGCTGTATCATAAATGATTGTCGTTTTAAACATTTAACATTATCCAAACGCCACATTTTGGACTGAACATTCTCTGTATTCTCATTGTAAAATTTAAACATTTAAATTAAAATTATTTATCTTGTGTGCCTGTTGTGTGTTCTCATTGTAAAAACTACTTTTAAAGACAAATTAAAGATGACAATGATGATCATAAATCGAAAGATAAGAATAACCACCAAGGAAGCTATCCTAAATTAGCTCTGGTAATACTTAAATCCAGTCTAGCAGTCTGATACTAGAAAATTAAATTAAAAAACATGTAAATAAACAAAAATAAAATAAAACTGAAACCATTTAAATATAATCAAAATAATAATTCAGACGTGATCCCAAGCGTTTCCCAAGAAAAATTGAAGCCAGTGCCCAGTTAGATGAATGTTGGGTTGATCTTTGGTAATTGAACTCAAACGATTTAAAATCCGACGTAAGATAATTCATTGTTTAATATGATGGATTTGGATTTTTCAATTGAGAGACATTACCTCTGATTCTTAATATGAGAGTTAGTTGACTAATTTAAGTAAATTAAAAAAACTAATTAAGTTAGTCACTTGTAATAAATATGTGTTATCTTTTTTAAAATATCTTTACTAATCAAGTATATTGGTTAGAACTATTATTATTATAAGGATTACTTTGAAAAAAATAGACAAATATAAAAGACAAAATAAATTAGAGTCTTATAATTAAAACCAAAATAAAAATCAAATGAGTTTTTATATTAAAAATAAGAGGCAGTATTAATTATTAAATCATGATATAATGATATTGAAATAAAGGCCACTGTGCTTCTCCTCAACATCATCAAATCACAGGTGATTTGAGAGTATTTTATCGGCTATATAATTAATATAAAAACTAAATTTGAGTAGATTAAAGATGTTAATTAAATTAATTAATATGATATTTTTTTCTAAAATACTCTAAGTATCTTTCTTAATCCTTTCCTTCTTTCCTACTTGGTTATTATTAGAAAAATATCAATGGGGTTATTTAAAAAAAATTAATAAATATGTAAAATAAGTTTTATATATAAGATCAAACATCAACTCTCTAATTAAATTCTATATTAAGAATTAGAGGAGTATTATATAAATGTATTTTATGAAAAATATAATTCATTTGATTCTTAACATAAGAAGCACTTAACTAATTTAAGTATATTATAAAAAATGTGATATGATCACCTTAAAATAACTTACATTATACTCCCTCCGTTCCTTATTATAAGAGACATTTGATACTTATGGTATGTTCCCATATATAAGAGACACTTAAAAGTTGTCTCTAGTTTTTTGTATTGATTTCCTATTTTACCCCTATTTATTTTATCTCCAACTCATACTCTCTCTCCCTCCCACTTTTCTTTCTTTTATTAATTTAATTGTTCTCTCTCATACTCTCTCTCCTTATTAATAGGGGCATTATTGGAAAAAATATTATACTTTTTACACATTAATTATCCTCAACTAATTTTAACTGTTTTTTTTATCAACGTAATTTAGTTATTTGTCTCTTATAATAAGAAACGGAGGGAGTATAATATTATGTATCATTTTATAAATTATCAACTAAGTTAGCTTGGAAAAAATTATAAATATATGAGGTAAGATAAATTAACGTCCAGCCCTATTAGTAACAGTGGATGAAGCAATGTAGCTAAAGACATCGGGTTTTAAGAAAAAATAATTTAATATCAAAATTATTCTTTGATGAGAAAATCAAACTCAGATATATTTTAATTGGGCGACGGGATGTGCCTAAGATTAGAAAGTGATGGTATTTTAATTATTAATGCTTTAAACCAAAGCTACTATGCCCTTAATATTCTCCCTATGGTCCTTTACTGCCTCTTATATTGTTCATCATTTGCCAAGCTGCACGGTCTAAGGGCCACCACCAGTATCTTATTTGGTCCCAATCACTCCTTCCAATTAACCCTCCGAATTATATAATATTAAACCATCTAATTAAAGAGATACTCAAATCAATAATGTATCATGTAAAAATTATTTTTTCACTTTAAATTAGCTTAAAAATTAGTACTAATTATATCTACAATTGTTACTTTTGGAGACAAGTATGCACTAATTGTACTTGAAAAAGTTAGTATTATAACAAATATTTAGGAAAAAAAAGTAAAATTTAAGACCTGTTTAAAATAGAAAAAATAGTAGTCTCTCAAAATTAGATAAGTCCTTTTTCCTTTTATTAGAAATAGTGGGTAACTCTAATAGCAGTTTACACAGTGTGCGCGCGCACGCTATTAATCATCCTTTTAGCTTATGCTTTGAATTATATGGAGGTAAAATTATGGATATTGGGTTGAAAAGAATTTAAAGTTCGAGAATTAAATTAGAATCAAATTAGTTAATCTCTCTTATAAAAATATAATATTTTTATTACTACTTCTTTTAAATATTTAATTAAATCATGAAAAAAATTAAATATAGAGATGATACTAACTTTTTCTAAACTGTAACCAAAATTAATTATTAATAAGAAATTAAGTAGATATTACATATATAAATAGAAAAATTATAATCATTTTTTTAAAAAAAATTAATTACTTTAAACTTTATTAAGAATCGAGGAGTTATAAAGAATAACAACATTCATGCTGATAACTTGTGATTTCAATTTTTTAGAAATTAAATTTATTATTTAAAATTTCATAGTAATTCTCTCTTTGTTAAAAACCGTTAACCTGCTCCGCTCAAATTACTAAAACTACCCTTCCTTTGTTGTCCCCTGCGTGCCTACGTGCTTCCATCCCCAGCATTTATTAATTTAACAAAAAACTGCCGTTGGGTTTCAAAAATCTTTTATCATTTTCAGCGAAAATAGGAATTCGGTCTTCGTCCACAGTCTTTCTGTCTTTCTCTTTCATTCCATCTTTGGGACGGATGTGAAAAGAAATTCACACTACAGGGATCAAAATTGAGAATTAAGTAGAAGTCGCAAAACAAAAATTATATTTTTCTCCTCACTTCAATTCATGATTTTGGGGGTGTTTGGATGAGGCAAAACCATGGTTTGCAGAATAGTTTTTGGAGAATAGATTCTGGAGAGAATAGATTTTGAAAGAATAGATTTTCTGAAAAAGTGATTCTGATAAAGTGAGAGTGTTTGGATAATTAATGTCAGAAGTGCTTTTTGATATGTGAAAATTACTAAAAATGACATAAGTTTAAATGATAATTACATATAAGATATATTTCATAATATATGTTTATTTTAAGTAATAAATTTATTAATAATATATATTTTGGCAACATAATAAATAAGTTATAAATAATATAAATAATAAAAAATTTGTGTGTATATATAGTAATAAAATAAATAAATATGTTTTTAGGAAAATGATATTTTGCCAAAGAAAATATTATTATTTCTTAAAGATTTGAAAGATGAAATCTGATAATTTTGTTTCACAAAATTAAATAACCACACAAAAAAATTTCATATTAATTGTGTTAATAATAGAGGTTGCAACGAAATATATTTGTTCAAGTAGGTTTTTTTAACAACACATTACATTGTCTGAAAAGAAAAGAGAAAATAAAAAGGACATAACTATTCTTGTATGTAGTGAACAATTTGATCTCTTATGGAGTCACGAAGTCGAGCCATGTGAGATGAAGAATCTACTGATGAAGGTATATGTGAAGATCCAACTCCATCATCATCATTTTCTTTTGCATAAGAACCTTCTTGTTCAAACTGAATGAAACCAGGATCAGAAATGGATGTTGATCTAATGAAGTTATGTATGGCCATCGTTGCACAAACAATTTGAACCTGTGTTGAAAAGTCATAGCTCGGTATGTTTTCTAAAATTGCAAACTTACTCTTCCAAACTCCAAAAGTTCTTTCGATAGTGCTCCGTAGACTTGAGTGCAAATAATTGAACGCCTCATTGTCATTTTCAAGTGCAGATGACCTTTGGAAATCAGGGAGATGGTAGCGTTCACGTCTGTAGGGACCAAGGTATCCCATGGGCGTCGGATAGCCAGCATCCACCAAATAATATTTGCCTACATGAAATATATGACTGGTGTCAATAAAATTTTTTTCCTAACAGTTAAGCATAAATAAATTGTAGGAATTTAAAATATACCTTGAGGCGGATGAGGAAAGTTCATGGAAGGAGTTGTGAGGGCGTGGTCAAATATACGAGCATCATGCGCACTACCTTCCCATCCGGCCAATACAAAAGTGAAGCACATGTCCCAATCGCAAACGGCCATTACATTTTGCGTCACTCTTCCTTTTCGGTTAATAAATTTTGTTTGCTCAGTTGCATCAACAATGCATGAAATATGTGTTCCATCAATTGCTCCAATAGCATGTTTGAAAAAGGGCCAGTATCGACCACTGGGCCGTATTTTTGTATGCAAATGCTGAAACATTGGATCTTTTGGTTTGATGTTGGTCATAGCAAGTCTACAGCATGCCAGTAAGACATTATGAAAATGTCTACTAATTGTCTCCCCTGAATGCTGAAATCTTTCTTGCTGCATCCTACTACTAAACGCATGGCCAACAGTATTTAAAACATTGCAACCATTTCATGTATCCCAACATTTCTAGTTTCCCTTAGACCGTGTTGTTGCAATTCTATGCAAAGACTAAAGAACACTTCTCTTTCCATCCTAAACATGTTATAACAACGAGTGGAATGGCCTTGTAAAACGTCCCTTACCCATGCCTTGCCTGTATAAATACTTGTATGCTGGGGCTCTTTACACAAATGAAGAGAAGCGTATCCACCAACCGCAACTGCAACTTGATTAACCCGTTTGTTCCGTCGTTTACGATACTTTTCCGCAATTTTAATTTCATCAGCCATTTTTTGTCTTGTCCTGTGCACATAGACATAAAATTCAGAAACCCTGATATGAAATTACTTAACATTTAACAAGAAAATAAGTTGTTTAATTCCTACAGAAATTCAGTAGTCACATAATACAATAGTCTGGTTACATCATTCCTAAAAATAGATACAAATTATCATAGTCATCTTTTAAGCAACACAAATGAAGTCTCAATCCTTAGTTGCATGCTTCAAGAAGATCAGTAGTTTTTCCCTCTTGTTCTTCAGAGCCACATACATCTCCCTTGCAGCTGGCTTGTCCATAAGGAGTGTTGTGCACCGGCCAAACAGATCAGGATCATCAACAATTTCATCAACTTCATTAAGGTGCTCCATGACTCCCGCAATTGACGTCTCATAAGCACGTGCTTCTTCTTCTAACTTCCTAGCACGTGCTTCTGAAATCTCTTCATGTTCACGCTGAGAATCATTTTCATTTGCTTGAGCTATCCTGCTTAGTGCATCGCTATTTTCATAGTGGTAGTAGGTTTCTTCTTCATGGATTCACCCACCCTTTTTCTAACCCCTAATGAGCTACTAGGTCGACTGCCACCTGTGCTTCTACCCCCACGAATGGTTTCCTGTCTCATTCCAGTGTTGCCTCTACTTCCTCCACTATTGTCATTGAATGTGACTAAATTAAACTCCCCGCTTATGCCAGTTGGTGCCCCCAAAATTTCATCATTATCTCCAGATCCTTCTTCCATATCATCTTTAGGAACTCCTTCGCTTGGAAGTGTCATGGAAGAAGGTGCCCATGACTGTGGTCCAGTTGCAACTACAGACCCAAAGAGTTGAGTCAATTCAGCCCGAAATTGAAGCCCCTTTCTCTAAATTTCTCATAGCCTGGAACTTCCTGCGCATTCAACACCAAAAATATTATACATTATACAAAAAAGGTTAACATGGGAGAAAATACAAGTTCAAATAAAGTTAAATGATTACCACTATTTTCTTCTCCCACCAATCATCAGGGGCACTAACAGTATTCCTTTCGGCATCCCACCCTAAACCTGTCTCACGGAGCAGCCTATCCCATAACTGCCATTCCTTTCGCAAGGTATCAAATTTGTTCTTTAATTGGATTCTCATATAAACCCTCCCAGTCTTTGTAGTAAAGTTCTCCTCAATACTTGTCCAAGCAAGCTTTGTCATGCTAGTTCCTCTTCTTCCCCCTCTTTCAACTTCTTCAATACACAGGTCAATAAAGATCTTTGTGGCTCTTATATCCCATGAAGCCTTGCTATTTTTTTTATTCATTATGCTATCAACCAATTACAACAGTTCAGTCATGACAAGTTCAACCCAAAAAGCATACCATTCAGTCCAGGAGATATGATATAACAGGTATAGTTTTTAATAAGTATAGCCACATGTTCTTTTTTTCTAGCAAAATGAGGTCTCATTAATAATTGACATCGCAAAATTAATGATGACTTTTTTCCCCATCATTTCAGGGAGTTCTTTTCGGTTAACTGACCAAAATTTGTGTTCAACCACTAATTATACTGTTGGTTAACTGACCAAAATTTGAAACATAGAAATTGGTTAACTCATTTGTAGGATTTCGATTACAGAAATAAAAATAATTTCATCAGCACAAGCACCCATAATCTAACCATATACACATAGAATGATCGACTGGTCTGTCTCCAAAGCACAACATACAAATATGGGAAAAAAGACACATACACGAAACCGAGATCCAGCTACCAGAATTGCAGAACAAACAGCCACACACGACAGAACGAAACCAGCATCCAAATATATGACAGTCAGCCCGAAATTAACAGCTGGGGGGAAACAAAATGAAGCCACCAATGATCCAAACTTATCTGTGAAACCACTGCTGTGTGGGGGGGAAAAATCGACCGGAGGTAATTTCAAACCACCGCAGATGAGGTGTGCACATATATATTACAGATTGAAATGAGACGTGAAAATCCACTGGGGAGAAAATAAGCGATCGGAGGTAATTTCAAAGCACCACAGACCACATATATATTACAGATCGAAATGAGAGGCGAAAATCAACCGTGGAAAAAAAATCGACCGAAATTTGGAAGATCGACCAGAGAATGCATAACTGGGGTTCGCGGAGGCAGCTTATCAGAGTTCAGGATATGAGAGATGGAACCGAGCAAGGCGACCTGAGACGGACTGATAGCGAAGAGATCAGAACTGGATGGCTCCGATCAGCCAAACCCAATGCACGGTGATGTCCTGGAAAGCCGAGAAAGACGTCGTCGGCACTGATATTCCTGAGGGATGGGAAGATCTCACCGACGACACAGGACCGGAAGTGGCAGAATGGGTGGCTTTTTTCCTCCGATTCTTCTCCAGTCAGAAACAGAGCAGCTTGAGATCTTCAAGTGAACTGAACGGAGAGGGCGACGACGATGAATGGGAGAGAAGAGGCGGAAGAAAGGGTTGAATGGATCTTCACCGTGAGCTGAATGCAGAGTACCCCGCGTGCTTGTTCCCTTTACTATGAGCTGAATGAACCGTTGAGCCAATAATTGTCCCTCAGAAACTTCCCCCGCCTGCTTATCTAGAACAGAGGTTTTGTTGGGCAAAACCAAGGTTTTGCCCGAAACCTTGGTTTTAAAAAAAATGGGGGTGTTTGGCAAATTTTTTGCCAAACCATGGTTTGGTTAAACCATGGTTTGGCAAAAAAGCCAAACACCCCCTTCATCTCTCACACTTAGGTTAGTTTCTGCTTTTCCATATTTATTTGTTGTGTTTTTAATATTTTCTTCTGTCCTCGTCTTTGACTAGTTGTATTCTTGCATTCTCATTCTCTCTCCGCTGTCTCCTCTTCTCCCTTAGTCCCTTCGCCAGTTCGCCGACGCTGGAGCATGCATTACTCACCAGAATACTTTTCTGCAACCTCTATTCTGTTGTAGACCACCAGAACGTGTCTAATAAGCAGCTTCTTGCCTGTCAAAGAGTTGGGTTTCTTTTCTGGACCATCCCAGTTCATGTGTGGGAGAAGTTTCTGCTCTGACTTGATTTTGTCAATGGAGTTTCTGGACATGTGGTTTCCGTGAGAAGGAATAGATCGACGGAGCTTCGTGCATTCTTGAGAGTGAAGAAGAAGCTGGTTTTGTTTGTGAGGAAGAGCGAAGTTTGGGTGTGGATGGTAGCGTAGGGAAGAGGCTGGACTTGTTGCTTATGACGACCGGAGCTCCATCCAGCGATCGGAGAGGGTGGTGGTGTTTCTGTGAATCTTTCACATGGAATGGCAGATCTTGCTAGCTACGGGAATGCCCACTGTGACTTAGAGCAGGTCTCTCTCTCTCTGTCTCTGTGTGTGTGTGTGTGTCACAAACTTAATGTGATGCGTTATAATTTCTGCTTTAGTTCTTGTAAATATTGCAGCTTGCTTGGAGTATTTGTTATTTGGTTTGTTTTAATACAATATAGTAATTGGGTTTCTTGTTGAAGGTAGGTTCCCTGGCCAAAAATATTATGATCAGTGTGTCTTCCGTTGTTTGGACACTGAGGGAAGTTGGAATTGCTGCTAACTCTAGTTGAAAGACTGGAGGAGTAAAGGCCAAAATGAAAATATGGGGGAATACATATTGATTTTTTTTTTTTGTTTCTTAATGGATGATCAGTAAAATTTCAAGTAGTTCTATTTATAATGAAAGTTCGCACCCTTTTGAATGAGAAGGGTTGATTGAATGATCTCATCCTTTATCACTACTATTGAACATGAGGAGTCTCATAAGATATGATGGGACTGACATTTGTGTTCCAATGGGATGCTTCAGCATGTATTGTGAGTAACTTTGGTTCTGAATTGTTAATGGCTTATTCTTTAAAAGAATAGATATCCTTGGATGCCATTTTCTAATGATAAAATTTCTCTGATTATCTTTTTCTACCAAAAAAACAAACTGTATATTCACTGGCATGTCAATTGGATAGTTCTTTTGTGTGATTATTTTTAGCATCTTTGATAAACATACAAAAATTGCATCTTTCAATATCTTGTAGACTATTTTGCTGTCATTACCTGTTACTTCTGCTTACTTCAGGCATTGATCCCTCTTAAAAGGGTGCCCAACTGCTTAAATATAGCTGGAAAGGAAAGCCCAAGTTTTATCCGTTCAGGCTTTCCAATGTAAGCTGGCTCATAACTGAAAGCTCATGTTGGAATCGTGTTATTGAATACTCAAATGTTCTACTTAATTAAGTGCCCTCTTGGACAACAATCAAGATAGCTACTCTTTTGTGCTTTTTGATATTGATGAGTGATGTGGTATGAGGTGACTTTCTGTTTGTGTATTCTATTGTGGCCTCTCATTGGATTTTCTTTGACTTTTTTTAGGCGGGGGATATGTTTATGAATGTCTTAATTATACTATGGATGATATTTAATGAATGTCTTGTTTGGGTTTTGTTACTTTGATGTAAGTAGCATTGCAAATCATGTCCCTATTTGATCCGATGACCACTTAGTTCAATTTTTTTGACCGGCACCATTTGGTTCAATTAGCAAGGGTTCAAACCAGCTTAAACATAGATCTTGAGACTGAGTCTTAGGAATGTAGCAGTGGTTATATTGATAGACTCTTGAACTTTTAGTACATTGTAACTTTTCTGTGTTTCTTGCATTATCACGCTTGTTTAAGTTCTTTACTTTTGTGCTTACTAAACTATCTGAAAACAACAGGATGAATCATCTTTAATCTGGATTTCAAGTAGTGGAGAAAGAAGATTGAATCTTTCTTCTGTCTTAAGAATTATTCCTGGACAAAGAACAGTGAGATCTCTAAAATTTTATCTTACATTATTCAAATGCCTCATCAGGTGTTGTTATTACTAGGTGATATTTGTAAACTGTTCCATAGATTCATTCGTCATTCTTTGGTTGCTTTTCCTCAATCTTCTGGCAGGCTATTTTTCAATGGTGTCTAAGTCCTGAGAAGAACTATCTGTCCTTTTCCCTTATTTATAACAACAGAAAATGGTCCCTTGATTTGGTTGGTGAAGAATTCTAAAATTTTTTGTACGATCACATCATTATCTATTTTCCATTTCCTCCACTTTTATCATTAATAGATTTCTTCCGCTCTTTACTGACTTGCGGAGATAAAGCTCTGATATCTTATGGCCAAGGTGGGTGGCCAAAAATTGATGGGTGGAGTGATGAGGGTCTCTATCTTGATGTAAATCCACCTTTGTGTAGTTCAATATCATTCTACTTGTGTCATGTCTCTTTTACCAAGAATTATAAGCTAGGGGAGAAGATAGATCTTTTTCTTGGAAATGATGGAGTATTCCACCATTTTCCCTGGGATTAAAGTCTTAGATGGACGAAGGGAGAGAACTTACTACTTTTGTGATGATTGGAAGAATTACTGTTTCCTTTAAGATACTGTCTTCATATTCTGAATTAACTTGTATTCTCTGAAAGGATGTATAGGACAGTTTGTCTCAAGCCAAGTGTTGTTCCCTTTCTTGTGCAATTCTTTGTCATGATTTATGAGCAATTGATTGTTCTGATTAGTCTCTTTTATCTTTTCTACAGTGATATGAATTTTTGTGACTCTAGATTGACTAATTACTTAAAATCTTACCAAATTACATGTATTTCTACTGGTGGCATTAGTCTGCCTATTGCTTCCATGTTGTAATAGATGGTAACCTATATATAATTCTTTGTGGCTGAATTACTTTCAGGATACCAGAGACTTGACATCAAGTTGTCGAAGCGAAAGTTTAGTTAGTACAC